GATATTTGGATTTGGGTCACATAAATGTGCACCCGAGTTTAGGAAGGTAATGTTATTAAAATACGCGCCTAAAGTAGCTAGCGTGTTATTATCTTTGGGGAAGGCCGTGAAATTCGCTAAACGGTCCGTCCCGAAGTCTAGGTATTTTAATATAAGCATTTAATGAGGGCCCCGCAATTTTATATGTTTTGTGCGGCGAGGCTCGTCTCATTTTTTATTTAAAAGGCAAGTCCTAGAGTAACTATGATTTTCTATTTTTATTTGTCTCTAATAACAAAGGAAAAGTCCTAGCTAATTAATATTAAAAGTTCGGGCTTCAAGTTCAAGTCCAGGTTCAAACAAAAGGGCAAGCCTTTTAGTTTAGACCCGCTACCTAACCCGAAAGCCCAGATTTGTTTTGTTTTTTGTTCTCAATGAGACTATCAATTTGATCATCAGCTTTCAGTAATTATTTTCCATATTTGGATCCAGCATGAAGAAATGGAAATCAAACTGCCCAGGCCCTTAATTAATTGAATGGGAAGGAAATGGGCCTGGCGCAAATTCTGCATATTTTCTCACAATTGGGCCTTACTGAATTGCTTCTCTCTAACCCAATCAACCCAGGCATTCATCAAAAACCAGACTGAGCAGGCCTTAATAAAGCATTAATGATCTAAGCTACCAACTAGACTGGAATATCAAATGTAAATCTGATTTAACATGCTGAAACGTTGAACCTTAGACTTCAGATTAAATTTTAACTGTATTTACTAATTATGCCACCAATTCTATTAATATTTGGTCAAGGAAGTGAAATTAAATTAGCAAATTACCATACGTAATATTCTCAGAATGATGGAAAACAAAATAGCTTCATAATTTGTAGAGCAGAGGATCGCTTTCAGAAGTTGAAACCATTTAACCCCAATAATTGACACATATAACCACCAAACCTATTTTCAGAAGCCATTAAACACGTTGGGACTATTTTCAGAAGCCAATGCTAGATCATGCAACGCGTCAACAAAAAACTATTGAATGTTTCGATGCAAATGCTGATTCTAGATCTATATTTCATGCCTGGATCTGGATTTTACTGTCTATTAATAAGGTGTCAATCTCCAAATGATACTAAAACTACACTAAACAAGCAGTGTGATTACAAACTAAACCAAAGGAATCTATACAGTCCAGTACAGTCCAGCTTTTTTTTTAAAAAGTACAATGAATACAGCTACCAAATTATGCAACTACTCAAGGTATAATAGGCTAATGAAGCAATAAAATCTTTAGCAGCGATCAAACACCAATTTTATTTCAATTTTTTGGCTTGAGAAACTACATCAGATCATCTTTAAAGTGTGTACCTGGAAATTACCGAAATGAAGAAGGAGGAATCAGTAGCAGCAAATGGCAATCAGCCGTGATAAACCAGCAGTAGTATCACAATAGGATCGGTTGTACAGCCAAAATTGCTCCACTAGATCCAAGGAATAGAGGACAGATGACCAGCAACCCAGGAAGCAAACCAAAACAGACTTGACCAAAACCAAATTAAATCGAAATCAAACCCAGGACAGCTTCTGAGTTTCAGAAATCAAAAATCAGTCATCTTCGATCTATTTTCATCTTTCTCTAGGCTAAAACTTAGCTCAAAAATTAGGCTATGAAAGTTTGATAAAACAGTATTTATTTTGGAGTTTTTTGGAGTTTCTGCTAACTTTTTTTTCGGTTTTTCTATAGTATTTTCTTTATTTTTTTTTTTGGTTTTTTTAATATTTGGAGTTTGAATTTCAAATTCAGATCTGAAAACTAGAGATCACCTTTTTGGGGGGGAATTTTTGGAGCTCCAAACTTGTGAATTAAGGCACTAGTCATGCCTTTTTATAGGCAAAAGTGAGGGCAGCCCTCAGATTTTCAATTTTACCCTTTAGTCCTTCACTTATTTCTTCTTAACCCTCTATTTTCTGGCTTGTTACTCAAGTTATCCCAATAAAATTACTGAAATTTACATTAAAGCCCTATTTAGAAGACTCTAGAGGGTTCTAGATTTAACTACAGCCTTCCTATGCACCCTAAGTACCCAAAACAACCCTGAGTTCAATATGAAATTACCAACTCTATTTCAACTAAACTAACCCCCTTTAATCTTGGTCAGATGACCATGGTTAAACAAGCACAAAGGACTGGATATTTTCAGCTATAACCAAATCAACCAAACCAACCCTAATAATGACTTGAAGCCAAACAGTGAACTAAAGAATTATTACTAATCAAAATCATGCATCAAAAGAGCTTAAATCAATTACTTAAACTAATTCGAACAGTTACTGAACAAACTAATTACTGAACAACCACGGATTCGAAACACAAAATCAAACTATTAAAAACCTAACTAACCCTAATTTCAACGAATTCAAATCACAACTAAACGAACAAATTGTTACTATCAAAAGAGAAACAGACACATCAAAATCAAAGCAAAACTAACAGAAGATCCGACTAAACTAACAATTAAACGCCTGAACTAATCAAAATTAATCTAACACTTAAACATTTGAACTAATAGAAACAAAACAAAAATCAAATCAAGATAAGAAAATTTAACAAACTTAATGATTTTTAAAAATAAATGGCCCTTCCTCGCATTAACTTGAATCTAGCCCCAAAAATAATATTATGTGTTTATTTCATGTGAAAATAAGTACATAATATCATTTTTAGGACCATTGGACACTGACCCTCATGAGTTGCAATTCCGACTTGGCTGGAACCCCAGATCCAAAAATTTTCTACAGTTTTGGTCGGATTTGGAAACAATAGCTTGGGGTTTAGGTAGAGGAGAGTGAGGGGAGTATGGGGTGTGAATTTGGTAAAGTTTGGGTGGCGGCGGCGCCGTGCACGGTGGTGGTGGCGCCTAGGGTTTCAAGTGTTTGAGGCGTTTGGTTGGGACTTGAGGAGAATTAATCACAGATTTGTATTGAGGAGGTTAAGACGGTGCAGGGGTGTAAATTCTGGCAAATTTGGAGCTTGACCGCCGCCGTGAGCGATTTCCGACGGCGGTTTAGGGCGGCACCGGTGGGGAGTACTCTGGTTGTAGTGGAGGAATGAGAGAGACACTTGGAGGTAGGGGGAGTATTCCGACCATTTTATATCAAGAAACCTCGTTAGTTCTCATCTGTTGGATGAAGAAAATCAAGGGCTGGGATTAAAACTGAGGAAACGACGTCGTTTTGATTTTAAAAAAGGGCTGGACCGGGTTTCCTGAGGCGGGTTGGGCTAAATTGGCGTGGATTTGGGGCTTTAACCAAGGCTAGTGTTATTTATTCAAACATTGGCCCAATTCGGGGTCTCTTATTAATACCTTCTTTTTAATTGTTTTCTTTTATTTCCTTTTTATTTTCATTTTGTATTTGTATTTTTCTGATCCTATTAAAATGCAAAATTAAAATAAAGATCTAATTTATTTCTAAAGTTAAGCTAAGTAATTCCTAAAAATTGATTAAGTCCTATTTAAAAGTAAACTCATGACAAATTCAACAATTAACAATTAAAAATGCAAAATGGACTATTTTTGTTATTTTCTTTATATTTTGTTTTAAAAACAACGTAACTACTAATTAATCCTAAAATATGAAATTAAATCCCAAATGCAAATGTCAAGTGTATTTTTTTTATATTTTTCCTATGAATTAAAATGCACAAATAGAATGCCAACATAAAAAATCCACAAAATTGCAAAATAATAGAAGAAATCATTTGTTTGAATTTTTGGGAATAATTCATATAGGGCAAAAATCACGTGCTCACGCCTTCATATTTTATTTATTTATTTATTTATATATTTTTATATTATTCACTTTCTTTTTGAATTTTTTGGCTTTTCTTTCTTTTTCTTTTGCCTTCCATTTTCTTCATTTTGTACCTTTATCACTTTTGCATTCCTCGTCTCTCCCCTCAAACTTATGCTTTTGCCACTTGTGCTAAGGAAAGATCAGGTGCCAAGAGAGGGTCATTTTAGAACGGATAAAGGCTTGTATCATGGCTATTGGAAGAACAAGGGCTTCGGCTCAACGGGGTTGACTAGGGATATCATATTTGGTGGGCTATGGATGCTTTCAAGTTTCAATTCGGATCAAGGAGAGCCTATAATCATTTCTCAAGTCGAGCTACACTTAGAATTTCTCCTAGACAAACATTTAGGGCAAGTTCTAGACTTATTGGCACAGGACTTGGACTTGCGAATCAATACCTCACCTCACAAGCTGTTGGATTGCTAAAGTGTAACGACCCGACCGGTCGTTTTGAGCTTTTGTACTTTGCTCGCCAGTTCTCGGGCATGACTTGCCCCTTGTAATATATTATGACTTAAGTAAATCGTTGGTTTTGGTTTTCACACTACAACATTTTAGGCCTACAACCACCCCTGAAAAGTGTGGCCTAAGATGCCGAGAAGTGTAGCATTTGGTCTAAGGCAACACTTTATGGCTTTAGGCAACACTTTTTAGGGGGTGGCCTAAAGTACCGTAACCTTTGACTATTGGCCACACTTTATAGGTGTTGTCTTAGAAGCCACGCTTTAAAAGTGTGGCCGATAAGGTACACAGGCCACGCTTATATTTTTTCATATAGCCACGCCTTTATGACATAAGGCTACACTTTCTAAGCGTGATCTTTGTCACGTTATAGACTACGCTTTTAAAGCGTGGCTTCTAGAGCAATATTTATCATTAACAACACCATATTGACAATTCATGTAGCCACACTTTCTAAGCGTGGCAATTTTGTCTACACCACGAAGAAATTTTTTAAATATTTATATTAGCCACAATTTTGTGGTTAAAAATTATATTTATTTACATCAAATTCTGTTCATATATATATATATATATATATATATATATATATATATATATATATATATATATATATATATATATATATAATGATCTCAAGCATTAAATTAGATAATAAGTAACAGAATAAAAATAATTCAAATGCATATACTTGAAATAAACTTCAACAAAGAAACATACTTTCGTATTACCTATATTGTAATAAAGCACTGTTGGTTCAAGAAGTTCACTAGCAAAGACCTCGACAAAACCAAATGTATTCATGTTTATAGTATCAATATAAAAAAAATAAACATCACAATTGTTCAAAAGATCTTCACCATTCACTTTAATGAATCAAATTTATTTGTGGCCACCATTTCTAATTGCATCACCGGTATTTTCCTACACATTCAAAATGAAATTAAAAATTAGAAAGAAACAAATATATAGTATGCACTGGGAGTGGCCAAACCAAGTGCACATGGACATGCGATCACCACAACTGATTGCATACATGAGAGCGAACACGAAATAATTGCCATTTTCTGGCAGCCATTCTTCTGGATAGCCTCCAAGAAGCCCAGCAACATACCTGGTGAGTGTAATAACTTATCCAGTATTAAGGCACACAACATGAAAATGATTGGTGATATATTATCGCATAGCAGACAATTGCAAATAGAATAGTCAAGAGAAGCTCACCATCCCAAGAATGTAAATAAAGACAAAGTTACAATTGTAGGGACAAAAATGCTTGCAATCTGAAAGTCAAAAGATAACTATAATGAGAAAATTTTGGCAGCTCACAACATGAAATACAATGCTAGATCAACAATTCAACTGCAGATTCAAAAATCAAAAGAGGAAAAGATAAAGAAGTGAAGACGCTCTTTGATACTTTAAGTACTACTTAAGAAACCCTGTAACAAATGCACCCTTTTAAGTGGTTCCTTTATCATGCATTTACTAGATAAAATTCCAGTTGCAAGAAAAGACAAGGAAGGCAAAGGATACAGTTTGGGTTCGACTAATGAATTTCTTTATTTCAGTTTGCTTATTGTTTCTTGACCGCTGAGATATCAGATATGCTATTGAAGTTGTATAAACTCCAACCTGCAACAAATTCACTCTTTAAGTTGCCCCTTTATCACACACTTCTTAAATAGAATTCCATTAGCAAAACATGACCAGGACAACGAAGGATAGAGTTTGGCTATGCCCATTGATGTACAAAAATCGAAGTTCAATTTAGTGGTCAAGAAAAAGAGCAAACTGAATAAGAAATTTACTAGTCGAATCTAAACTGTTATGATTTTCAGCTACTTAAGCAACTGTATATTCTATGTTATTCTTAATCCCCCTTCCCCTCCTTAATGTTGATTTAATCATCCAATTTGTTAAGGCACTAGCAAAATATCACTATAATGCCAGGTATTAAGATTGTCATCTAGCTCAAGGATGACCAGCATCAAATAGTTTAATTGTGTTTATCTAATATGCTAGTCTTCACATCCTCGCCCGGACACTTCAATCTATATTGCTTCACTGGCTTAGAAATATCGCTCCCTCAAGTAAATTTGAAAAAAGAAGAAAAAAACCTCAGACATGTATCTAAAACTCCAGACATGGATGCCATCCATGTCATCCATGGTTATGGGAAACCCTTCCTTGATCTCAAGAGTTGGAAGATATCGCTCAGCTGCTTTCTGAAATTAATCATGACATAAAAGTTAATCAGCCGCAGACTGTCTGAATAACCATGGGATACACAATATTGGACAACTGCTAAATCATTAGTTTGGAAATATTAAATGATTGCGACATTAATTCACTTCAATGTGTACTCAAAATAAAAAAAGTAAGTACAAGAGATAAGTGTTCTTAAGGCATTTACAACGATGCTATAAAAAGCCCAAACCTTGGGCACGACAATTCTCCTTAGGGAGCTAACATCACTGTTGTCACGACCCAAAATCCACTAAGGGTCGTGGTGGCCCCGAACACCTCTGTCAGGCCAGCCAACTAGATCATCAATTAGTTCCTCTTTTAATACTTTTGAAAATCTAAGGTTTTTCCTTCCATTTTCATAAATAAAAGTTCACTACTTGAATTCAAATTTAAATAATAACAATTAATACAAATCCTTTGAAACCCATCCCAGAAACCCGGTGTCACAAGTACATGAGCAATTATCGATAAGGAAAGTAAAATACAATATCTGTCCGAAATACAGTGGACGGGGAATAAATAATAAAATGCTGAAAGGAACTACACTGGTTGCGGGTCGTCTCGGACAATGCAGCTCACCTAGTCCTAGAGTCGTCCGTGCTGTTACGCCCAATAGGCTGCTAGAGGTATATATACCTGTGCAACAAAAATGCACAGAAGTGTAGTATGAGTACGTAATCAACGTGTACTCAGTGAGTATCCCGCCTAATCCCGAAGGGGTAGAGACGAGATGGCCAACTCCGACACTCACTAGAGGTCAATTACCAATATTCTATTAGTGCGAGGAAAATCATGGATTTGTATAGAAGTTCTGATTGGGAAGCCAAAAAAAAACAGGTAAAAACCTTCAACAATAAATTCAGGGCTTCTAGAGTTTGTTCTTTATTATCTTATCAGTTTATATCAAGCCACGTAGGGCCAATTCCACATTTACAATTTTCAAGTAACAGATAAACACGCGCAAATCATGCCGAGGTCAACGGCCCGCTCCAACAGAAATGTAAATTGTGCACTGCCGAGGGTCGAGCGGCACGAACCATAGATGCATCTATTCTTACTGAGGCGTTCGGCCCGTTCCATAAATAAACACATATCCTGCTCGCGGATCATCCATGCGACGCAGGCACACATAAAATACATGCTCAATCAGTCAAATAAGAATTTATCGGGGAATATTTATTCAAATAAAACCAATTCTCCTTTAACAATTCAAGAAATGAAGTGTAATCCTTTTAGAAATTTATTTACTAATTCGATGCGAGTTAAACAATTCGAGCTACCAATGGGTTCACAATTAATCCACGTGCAACATGCTTTTGGGTCCTAACTACCCAGACAATAGCATAATAGTAGCAACGCACGGACTCTCGTCACCTCGTGCGTACGTAGCCCCCACAAATAGGAGCACATAATCAATTACTTCACCTATGGGATAAATTCCCCCTCACAAGATTAGAAAGGAGACTCACATCGCTCCGAAGACTCATAACCGGCATTTTACATTCTTCCGAAGGCTTGAACCAACGCAAATGCACCAAAACTAGTCAATTAACGACAAATTAATGAGAACATGCTCAAATACTTGTTAAAAATTCAGATTATACAAATTCCCAACTCCGCTTAGAGAAATGACCAAAATGCCCTCGGGCCCACGTGCCCGGAATCCGAAATTTTTCGAAGATAAAGATTACCCATGACCTTAGGAACTCAAATATATAATTTTCTCTTAATTCCATACTCAAAATCGTGGCAAAAATCCAAGATTATAATTTTCTAGGTTTTCAACCAAAACCTCAATATTTACTCTAATTTCCATGCTTAAACCCATATATAATTGATATATTCAACTCGAAAGTGGTGGGGATAAATTACCTCAACATTGACGACAAAATCCTCTCTTGAAGCTCCCCAAAAATCGCCCAAGCCATGAAGAAATAGGAGAAATGAACTCAATCCCACGATTTAAAACAAGGTTCTGCTTCCAGTCATTTCCGCTTCCAGTCATTTCCGCTTCTGCGGAAGCCATGCCGCATCAGCGGTTCCGCTTATGCGGTCCAAAGGCCGCTTCTACGGCTCCTTTCCATGCCGGCCTTTCTCGCTTCTGCGATGCCCCTTCCGCAGATGCGGTTCCGCTTCTGCGGAATTTCGATCGCATCTGCGGTCCTCAAGCTTTGGACCAAAAACCGCATATGCGGCTCCCCGTTCGCTTCTGCGGTCAACCAACCGCAGAAGCGAAACCACCAGCAAGCAGATGCCTTCAGCTCTCTTCCAAATTCCAATTTCGATCCATTAACCATCCGGAATCCGCCCGAGGCCCCCGGGACCCCAACCAATCACACCAACCAGTCCCAAAACACATTACGGACTTGCTCGAGGCTTCAAATCATATCAAACAACGCTAAAATCATGAATTACACCCCAATTCAAGCTTTATGAACTTTAAAATTTCAAACTTCTATTTCCAATGTTTAAACCTATCAAATCACGTCTGATTGACCTCAAATTTTGCACACAAATTATATTTGACATTACGGACCTACTCCAACTCCCGGAATTGGATTCCGACCCCGATATCAAAAAAGTCAACCTCCGGCCAAACTTTCCAAAACCTTCAAATTTCTATCTTTAGCCAAGTGGCTTCAAAATGACCTACGGACCTCCGAATTCACTTCCGATCCTTCCAACTCCAAAATCACCATACGGAGCTACTCCTAGTGTCGGAATTCCAAACGGACATCGATAACACTGAAACGCACTTCAAACCAAACTTATGAAATTCCCTCTAAAATGCTAACTTCCACAATAGGCGTCAAAACACTCCCGGGTTATCCAAAACCCAATCCGGGCATATGCCCAAGTCCGAAATCATCATACGAACCTCCTGGAACCTTCGGATCCCGATTCCGAGGTCGTTTACTCAAAATTCCAATCCTAGTTCATTCTTTCCACTTTAAGCTTCTGGAAATGAGAATTCTCCTCCCAAATCAACTCTGAACTTCCCGAAAATTAAATTCCGACCAGGCGTACAAGTCATAATACCTGAAACGGAGCTGTTCATGGCCTCCGACTGCTGAACGGAGCACTAGTACTCGAAACGACCGATCGGGTCGTTACAACTGTTCTGAAGCTTCTTGTCAAAGAGAAATCTGAACCCTGTTGGTTCAGTGCCTGAAGTATCAGATGCATAAATTTTTTAAAATGAAATAGAACGAAAGCAAAGCAATTGAAAAGAACTTCTGAAAAAATAAAAGAAAGAAGAGGTATAAAGTACCTGTACTTTTAACATATGCTTCTGGATACACATGCTTCATTTTTCTGAGCACAATTAGATAAAGTTCAATAGGGAACCTTTCTGCCTCGGATAACAATACAAATAATTTTGCAAAATACATAAATCTCCCTTTTCTCTTTTCTAGTGATTGGGTTGGAAAGATTAAGAGAATATGTTATTACCAAACTGAAACATCAGTAATGTCATCTTCAGTAGCCTGAGATCTTAGCATAAACATCACCATGTGATGATAGATGCACCTTACAATTGCATTGCAAACAATAATATTCAAAGTGAGAAATTATGGCAAAACACAAAGTGCATAAACACAAGAAAATATTTTATATTTAGCATGAATATCTATACGCTATGCATTTGTAGTTCTTTGACAGTCCTTTGAGTTCTTAAAAGTATGAATTGTCTACAACTAAGTTATTGTAAGTTTTTTTGCCTATGTCCGAAGTAAAAATAAGCGTGCGAGTACAAAAATTCAGGGCGCAACCACAATTGCTATATTTTCAAGTTTCAGGGGTTGCAAGATAAGTTGAGAGGTTTATGCAAGAAAGAAACAAATCTCACCTTGCCATATCCTCCTCTCTGAATAACCCACAAAACTCAAGCCTACTACCAAGTCCACACACAGATCAGCAATCCTATCAAATTGTTATAAGAAATTGTCTAAACTCCAAGGAATATATACGAATTGGAGGCTTCGCAAGAATTACATGTACCTAACAGCCGGGAACAAATTGTAAAAAGTCTTAATTTGAAAACCTATTCAAATTTCACACCAATATCCGAAAACCCCCTTAAATTGAATTAAGCAATGATTTTAAGCTACCTCCATAACTCAAAACTCCAAAATTCCAGATCCAAATAACGAAATATATAAAGACTACTTCAACACTCGAGAGATCTACAAATGAGCCCTAAATGAATAAATAAAACAGATATCGAACTATAGATCTGAGAACAGAATGAAGATTGAAGACAAAAACAAGAAAAGATTTAGGGATAGGATTTTTTTGAGATTAAGGATCGAAAGCAGGAAAGGAGTAAGGAGATACGAAGTATCATAATCAAAATCGAAGAGAGTTATGTTTCTTACGGTGAAAGAGGTCCAATTTCTCAAGGTAAAGCCTTAGCAAATCTGACATGAACTCCACCGAATACGTTGAAGCACATCATAGCCGCAACAATAGCCAACGCCGACGACAACATGTCGTCTTGGTAGTCCACATCGGAGTCATCGTCGGAATACATTCCACTCTCGTGCCTGATTGAAAAGGGGGCAGTGGCATTAGTGAGAGCTAGCGAGTGGTGAGTCTTTTCTTAAGGTTTTAATTTTTTTGTGGGAAAGTTGTGAATATTTAGCGGGCAATTTTTAGTGGATAAATTATGAAAATTTTAGTGAAAATTTATGGTGCAAATTTTTTGAGTACCCTTATAACGTGTTGCTTTAGAGTTATAAAAAGAGCACCATTCAAAAGCGTTTCATTACAGATGTGTAAGTGTTGCCAAATATCTTATAATATGGCAACCGTTAAAAGTGTAGTATTTATATCTAAAAAGAACGCTTTACAAGCGTTGCCTAAATTTTGTGGCCAAAAGCTCTTAGCAATGACCACCCCTTAAAAAGTGTTGCCGTAAGTATTCTTGGTAACACTTTTCGAGTGTTGTCTAAAACTAATGTAGCCTTAGGCCAAATTTGTTGTAGTGTCAGGGTAATCGGAATGAATTTGGAAGAACAGTTCTCAATTTGAAGCTTGAAATTTGAAAGGTTTGACCAAGATTTGACTTGTTTGTACATGATCTCGGATCGGAAATTTTATGATTTGGCTAGCTCCGTTAGGTGATTTGGGATTTAGGAGCGTGATCGGAATGCATTTTGGAAGTCCGTGGAAAGTTTAGGCTTGAATTGGCGAAATTAAGATTTCGGCGTTTTCCGGTTGATAGGTGAGATTTTGATATAGAGGTCGGAATGAAATTCCGGGAGTTGCAATAGCTTCATTATATCATTTGGGATGTGTGTGCAAAATTTCAGGTGATTCGGACGTGGTTTGGTTGGGTTTTTTATCAAAAGCGTATTTCGGAAGATTTTTAGAAACTTAAGCTTGGATTCGATGTGTTTTGGGTGAATTAATGTTAATTGAGGTATTTTGATGATTGGAACAAGTTTGAATAAGGTATTGGGTTATGTTTGTGCTGGTTGAGGTCCCGAGGGCCTCGGGTGATTTCGGGTGGTCAACGGAGAGATTGGAAGTTTGTTGCAGCAGCTGATATTGCTGCTTCTGGTATTTTCGCATCTGCGGATTGGGGACCGCAAATGCGGGTGGGCTATCGCAGAAGTGAAAAGGGTCAGATGAGATTTTCGCGGTTTATATCGCGGATGCGATTTTCGGGCCTTAAGTGAAAAACCGCAGAAGCGGTGGTTTGGCCGAAAATGCAGTACCGCAGAAGCGGGTTTTGGACCGCAGATGCGGAAAGGCCTGGGCAGACCATATATTTTATTTCATTTCGGGATTTTGGGTTATTTCACCATTGTTGCCTTCGACCTTGGAGCTTTTTGGGCGATTTTGAAGAGAGAAATCAAGAGACTTCGTTAAGGTAAGGAATTTTGGAGCTAAAACTCGATTCTATGGTTGTATTTCACGAATTTAGGTCTGTAATTAAAGGGCAAAAATGGAGGATTAGGGCTTGAGTTTAAGAGGCCTTTAAATGGGGATTTGAGGGGTCATTTGGACTCCGATTTTAGTATTTTTGATATGTATGAACTCGTGGGGAGACGAGGAATCTATTGATGTGAAAATTTCTGAGTTTCGAGAAGTGGGACGGGGGCTCGTGTTTTGCTAATTTTGGAATTTGTGCCCTTTATTGATTATTTTCGCTTGGGCTTCATTCCCTTAGCATATTTTGATGCCCCTCGTTCTGATTTTGATTTGACACGCGTGGAGGCCGATTCAAGGGGAAAAGGCATCGCGAGCTAGAGATGTAGCCGGGTTTAAACTGAGCTAAGATGTTTTAAAGGATTGTACAGCTTCATTGTTTCTACTGGCTTTTGAAACTGCTTCTATACAGCATGTTGATGCTCTTTTCGTGATTTCTTATCACTCGGTCTTTATTTATGATTATTACTCACTGAATTGGCAGTACTCATTTTACTCCCTGCACCTAGTGTGCAGATTCAGGTATTTTCTGAGCTTGGTGGCAGTTGTCAGTGGAGTTAGCAAGGTAGCTGCCGAAGTTCGCAGCACTGCTTTTCTCCCTCCCAATTTCATTAGACTGTATTTAGTACATTTTTTACTCTAGTTGTATTCGGACCTTATTAGATGCTCATGACTGGTGACACCCCAATGTCGGGCTGTGCTGGTTTTATTTCCGTAACTTATTCTGTTATTTTGGGATTTTATTTATATTAAAGACTCGGGTTTTATTATTTTAACTGCTTAAAGTGAACTAAAAGTGTGTCGGCTGGCCTTGCCTTCACGAGAGGCGCCATCACGACCGGGTTTGGGCTTAGGGTCGTGACAAGTTGGTATTAGAGCCTAGGTTACATAGGTCTCACGAGTCATGAGCAGGTTTAGTAGAGTCTCGCGGATCGGTATGGAGACGTCTGTATTTATCCTCGAGAGGCTGCAGAACCTTTAGAAAAAACTTCACATTCTTGAATTCTTATCGTGCGTCCTTGATTCAGCTTGAAAAGTAACTCTTGAAATTCCTTCCACGCGTCCGTATGCGCACATGAGCGTTTAGTATCAGATGTGCATCGATGATTTGTGATTCCCTGATCGAGGGGCAAGATGTGATCTCTGTGTGTTTGATGTTGGGCCGGTCTGGAGGACTTGAGGCCGGATTTTTACCTATAGCTTGAGCACCTAGGTACTGATTATGTGAGCCGTGTTTTTGAACTTATTTACTCAGTAGTGCCCCTATTAATAGAAGTGATGGCTGGATGGCTATGCGATGAGTATGTTATGACTGCGAGATGTGATCATATGATTTGGAAGCGACGAGAAGGGTCTGCTGGAGGATAGATGAACTATTAGGTGTTTGATTTCCATTGTGATTGGATGTATTGCCCCGAGTTATGGGTGTGTGAAGAATATTTTCATGTTCCTAATTGGGAGTGAAGTAAATTTCATGTTGCGGTATGAGTTCAGACTCAGGAAGATTAAGTGACTTCGTAATGTTTATGACGGTGGAAGGCATACATAAATATTAGTTCGAGGCAAAGCAGGTGGGTTATCTCCTGCGGAGTGTTCTGAAGTTGTGTGATCCATATGTTGTCTGTTAGAAGATCTCACTTACAAGTGAAGGATATGTGTTGCATTTTAAAATTTAGGTCGCTTAAGAGAGTGGGTTTAACTGTTGCAAGAGTGAATGCGAGATTTGCAGAAGATTTAAAGTCCTAAATGGTCTGTGTCATACGAGCTTATGAAGGGTTGATTTCAATCTTACTATGGTGTTATGGCAGTAATAGAGTATATGCATTAGGAGTTATTGTGTGTGTTTTGGTCTATGGCTTCGAGCCAAGTGGGGGAGTCTGCTATTGATTAGGTGATTGCACGGTTAGGTGCTATGTTGGTTCCAGTTATGGCTTACGGAGATTGAGACCGACGATGGTCCAAGTAAAGGAAAATTTTTACGAAGGTTATATTATGCTTCATAGGTGTATGAGAATCACGGAATGTCTTGAGTGGTTATTGGTAAGGGTGTGCAGTGCATAGAATAGGAAGTTGCTTGATTGCATTAAATTGAGGTTAGCTTTTGCGGTGTCAGAGTGCTAATGAGGCACAAGTTATTCGATTCATTTGATTAGTCTAATTGAGTTTTGAGCAGAGTGGATGACTCTCGAGAATGGTCCTAATGAGTTCAAGGTTTCTCATGTAATAATTGGAGATTTTCAGGTGTATAGTTTGGCTAGAAACTGAGGTTTGCATTGGAGGGTGTCAAGACTTGTGTAATTTCTATATCGATTATGGGATTCTATACATCAGTAATAGGAAAGTAATATCTTCAGATTCACAGGAAGTCTTTTCGGGGTAGGTATTCTGAATGTGGTGCTTTTGGGAACATTTAAAAGAGCATTCAGCGGGTTGTGAGCCTTAGGCCGTGTGGTATTATGCTTGGGTCTCGTGTGGTATCTTTGGGTTGAGGAAATGTGATATTATGGCAAGAAGGAGAATAAATTGAGGGTAAATCAGAAGGGAGCTCGGATAGATGGGATAACTTGGTAGTAGGCCAGATTGGTATGGTAAGGATATGATTAGTTCTTTGGGTGTTTACGAGGTAATGAGTTCTACAGGTATTTTGCGGTGATGCTCTTGGGCTTTAGTGGCCTGCGTAGCTTGGTTGAGTTAGAAGGATTCAGTCATGTCGGCTTTGGTTTTGTCAAAAGGGGGACGGGGAGTCCTTGTTGTTTTCTACCGTGGCTAGAGATGTATACTTTCTGCTGGCAGGAGGAGCAGGGGATGTGTAGTGATTTTCTTCTGAATGGGATCAATGGAAAGTTCTTGGTTGGTTGAGTACATAGTTGCTTGTGGCTCGGAAGGGATATGAAATTCTCATGTTATTTTAGGATGGGTTGGTATATGCGGTAGGTGTGGAGGATTGAGATCTGCGTGTGTAAGATTACGGTTCAATTGTGAACGGAAGGTCATAAAATTCTTAGGCAGCGGGCAGTTTCAGGTAATTAGAGAAATGAGCTTCAGATGATTAAGGAAATGATCTTCAGATGATTAATGAAATGGTATTGCTAGTTGGAGGTTAATTGACGAGGGTTTGTGTTTCAGAAAAAGGCAATGTGATTAATTTGATGGTACTTCATTAGTATTGCGGCACTTTCTTGTTAGATCGACTGCTGATATTCGAGTTTGCTTGGAGGTACAGAAGAATGTTAGAGTATCTCTCGTGGAGCGGCTGGATATTAGAGATGTGGTATGTGCTCAGGCGATGGAATTGGAATCGAATATGTGATTCGTGTGCTACAGGGAGTTTGGAGATTGGGAGTTCTCATATTCAGGCTATATTGTGGTTCTGGGTCGTGTGTATCAGCACTGTGTAGTGACTATCGGGGTCTGGAGACCCGAGCGGATCTTTTGC